ATAAAACAGTGAATGGGTACACAACTGGGGTGGTGGCGCAGTTGGCTAGCGCGTAGGTCTCATAGCAAATCTGAGTTATCCTGAGGTCGAGAGTTCGAGCCTCTCTCACCCCATTGCTCTTTTTAAAGGATAATATATTATTATTTAGTTAATTAAAAAATGTAATAATTACACATTTCTGAAAATCAAATATCCAACATCAATCACTTTCAAGTAATAAATCAATTTTCGATAACTCTTATCAATTAAAAGTTCTCTTGGAGAACCAAACGTTCAAGCAATAATTGGACCAAGTCATACACCACATTCATCGTCGTAAAACATTTTGTTTAAACAAAATCAGAAGAGAAACAAATTGACTTACTCATTCAAATCAATTTCATGTGTCCACTTGCATTTATAAATGTAGTCTAATTTTTATAAATTAAGTTGAATGTGACATGAGTCTTTCTGGTCCACGTTGACTAAGTCCTTGAATTGGTAAGTGGTCACATTCTCACATAGAATTTTCAGCCAACTCATAAACTGTATTTATATAGAGAGAATTGAAACACGAACAATAACTACAAACAACTTATATTCGAAATCAAGATCATATAAATAAAATATTTATTATTGTGTAGACTTTTTCAGAGCACTATTCTTAGTCTCCACCACTAACTGTTCATGATTAAGGATTGAGTTTCGGTGAGATGAGAATGAAAGTTATATGAGAAGGTTAAGAAATGATCTCTACTCTTGTATCAATCCTAATTGAAAAGAACCATTAGATCAACACTAATGGGATACACTAGATCAATCCCTTCTGGAACGCAATAAGTTTAGAATCCAACCTTTTTTTGATTGCTTGGATGGTGTCATGGGAAGATGAATGGTGGACTCTACAAGCAGTAAGCATATAAGATACTCTTAAAAATAAGACCAAGACTTGGTTGCAATGGCTCCCATGCTTCACTTCAGTCACTATCTGTTAGGAATACTTGTTTAATTCTTAGCAATATTGCTATTTAAAACACCTCAAAGATCTTAAATCCCACAAATACATGTGTAATATAACAGAAACTAAAGTTGCATGTTCATGGCAAACCTTTCTCTGTTCTTCCATGCAATAGTGTTGCTGTCATGGCCTGCAACTCTTGCCATTGCCTCACTTGCCGGAAACAATACTGATCACCTTGCCCTCTTGGCCATCAAATCGAGTATAACCCATGATCCACAGGGAGTTCTTAACACATGGAACACCTCCATCCATTTCTGCCAATGGCAAGGTGTTACATGTGGTCGCCGCCATCCTAGAGTCACCATATTGAATCTTGGATCTAGAGGCATTGTTGGTTCCTTGTCTCCTCAGATTGGGAACTTGAGCTTTCTCAGAGTCATAAGACTAGGGAATAATACCTTCAATGGTGTAATCCCACCTCAAGTAGGTGGTTTATTCAGGTTGCAGAAGCTCATTCTCTACAACAATTCTTTTGAAGGTGAAATTCCAGCCAGTTTATCAAACTGCACAAGACTCAACATCCTAGGATTGGGTGGCAATCAACTAGTTGGCAAGCTCCCACAACAGCTTGGTTCGCTGCTGAACCTCGTGATCTTATCCATTAATGATAACAGTTTCAGTGGAGGAACCTCTTTCATGGGAAACCTCACTTCTCTTGAAGTCTTAGCAGCCCACAACAATCATCTAGGAGGAAACATTCCAGACGTTTTCGGTCAATTGCACAGCTTGAAAGATTTTGTTTTTGCTGGGAACCGACTGCATGGTACGATTCCTCCATCCTTGTACAATTTAACATCTTTAAGAACTGTTGATTTATATGAGAATCAAATCAGTGGAGGTCTATCAAAAGATATAGGCTTGCAGCTACCTAATCTTGAGGAGTTGCAGATATGGCGGAACAAACTTACCGGAAGCATACCATCCTCTATTTCAAATTGTTCAAACTTGGTACACCTTGACTTGGCTGAAAATGGTTTCACCGGGAAAGTTGACATAAATTTCAGGCACATACCAAATCTTAGGTTTCTTGTGCTATACCAAAACAGTTTAGGAAGTTCAGAACCTGATGAGATGAACTTCATTGATTCCATGATCAATTGTAGCAACCTAGAATTGTTCCTGGCTTTTAAAAACCAATTAAGAGGAGTGCTTCCTAGTTCTCTAGCCAATCTCTCATCTCAACTCACACTTCTAGATTTGGGTGCTAACTTCATATATGGGTCCTTGCCTTCTGGGATAGGGAATCTTGTGAAGTTAGAAACAATATCTATGCAATATAATCAGTTGACAGGAATAATTCCTAGTGAACTTGGAAATCTTGGAAACCTAACACAATTATACTTAAATAACAACAAATTCACCGGGAACTTTCCAGATTCTATAAGCAGTCTGTCATTGTTGTTGGAGTTGGATTTGTCGGTTAATAGACTAGAAGGACAAATGCCACAAAATCTTGGTAACTGCAAGAGTTTGGTGAAGTTGTACCTTCCTGTAAACAACCTTACTGGCCCAATACCCAGAGAGCTTTTTCAGCTATCGTCCTTGATCTATCTAGATCTCTCTCAAAACCATTTAGTTGGACCACTTCCCCAAGACATAGGAAACCTCAAAAGCTTAACGGTCCTCAATCTATCAAAAAATGATTTGGTCGGAGAAATCCCAGATGCCATCACAAGCTGCACAAGCCTTGAGTACGTATATCTAGAAGCAAATTCCTTTGCAGGTCCTATAGCTCCCGCATTTAGAGCATTAAGAGGTATCAGGGACCTTGATCTTTCTAGCAACAACTTCTCAGGGAAGATTCCAATATTCTTGGAGCAACTAAATTTGTCTTCATTAAATTTGTCGTTCAACAATCTTGATGGGAAGGTGCCGACGGGAGGTATTTTCAAGAATGCAAGCATGATCGCAATTAATGGGAATGGTAGGCTCTGTGGAGGCATTCCTGAACTTGGGCTACCCAGATGTGACCTGGTAGCAAGATCAAAGAAAGGGTCCCGTGTTATTCTGGTTGTTGTCCCACTTTTCTCATTTCTAGTTCTAGCAATGGCATTGTCTTTGTTGTTTTGTTGGCAAAGAAGGAAAAGGCAAACACAGCCACCAGAAGCTTCAGCTGGGCAACCATTTTCAAGGGTTTCTTACGGAAGCATACTCAAAGCCACTGATGAATTCTCCGAACAAAATCTGATTGGGACAGGGACTTTCAGTGCTGTTTATAAGGGTATCCTTGAAGCAGGTGGTGCAATGGTTGCTATTAAGGTTCTAAAGCTTGGAAACCAAGGCGCTTTGAAGAGTTTTATGGCGGAGTGTGAAGCTTTGAAGAACATAAGGCATCGTAATCTTGTAAAAATCATTACTTCCTGCTCATCTATTGATTTTCAAGGTAACGATTTCAAAGCTCTTATTTACGAGTTCATGCCAAATGGGAATCTCGATACGTGGCTACATCCATCTCAAGAACAAGAAATTGAGACCGAAGAAGCAGCTCCACGAAGATTAAGCCTTCACCAAAGAGTAACGATTGCGTTAGACGTGGCTCATGCCATCCACTACCTCCACCAAGAGTGTGAGATACCCATAATTCATTGTGATCTGAAGCCAAGCAACATTTTACTTGACAATGACATGGTTGCTCACATCGGTGATTTTGGGCTCGCAAAGTTTCTTCCATTGAAACCTCACGAAAGCAGTTCGATTGGAATAAGAGGAACAGTTGGGTATGCAGCTCCAGGTAATCTGTTAATTAAATTTTTGAGGCCATTACAGTTAATCTTTTCTAAAACCTATCTTCTCAAAAACTTCATGGTAATTTCAAATTAAAATTTCTGAACCCATATTTTGTTTTTTGGAAGAGTATGGTCTTGGAAGTAAGATGACAAAAGAAGGGGATATCTACAGCTTCGGGATTTTGTTGTTAGAGATGATGACAGGGAAAAGACCTACAGACGAGGTTTTTAAAGAAGGGCTGAACCTCTATGACTGTGTGAAAATGGCATTGCCTGATCGTGTGATGGAAATCGTTGAACCGACAGTAAAGGAGGAGATGGAAGCTGCAAGTGTCAATCGTCGATCCGGTGAGGATGAAGTTAGAAGGTGGAAGAGATTGGAAGAGGGCATAATGTCGTTGGCTAGAATCGGGTTGGCATGCTCCATGGAATCTTCGAGAGAAAGAATGGATACGAGCAAGATTATCGGAGAGTTGGGTCGCATCAATGCCATCGTCGTTAATTAGAGTAAATTACGATTTTTACCCCTATAGTTTGTTAATAATTTCAATTTTTGTCTCTGATGTTTTGAAATTTTCAATTTTCGTCTGGTTTGAGATTTATTGCGATTTTAGTCCTAGACCTATTCCTACCTTAAAGTATATGGAACCAAAACATTAATTATAAATTATACGAACGAAAACAATAATAAATTATAAAAACAAAAATAACAAATCATAGAGATCAAAACGTAATTTCTAAACCACAAACTTTAGAATAGTAGTTTTGAACTTGGTGTAAGATTTTTTATTTTTATTTAAAAATAGTAGTTTTGGTCATGAAATGTTTTATACATACTATTTATTGATCCATATTACTTAAAATTCAAGATTACAAGCAAATTGTACGCAAGTACAATTTATTAAAGTTTCATGTTTGAATTCGTGTAACTAACTACGTATAAACATAATTAAATAAAGGATAAACATCTCATTTTTAATATAAAAAATCCAAAATATAATTATGATAATCATTGACTTTTAACAAAATATTTGATTATTATTTTTATAAAAAATTATATTATTAAACCAAAAATAAAAAAATTAATTAAAAAACGAGAAATTTTAAATAATTAGTTTGGTATTAATATTTTTTTTTAATTTTTTATGATGTCTTTACATTTACATTTTGTTTCAAAAAAATATATATATTATTGCGTTCTCAACCAAATAAAACCGTATTATAACATCGATTGAAATAGGAAAAAAACAAAATCATTTAACTGCATTGTACGAGTACCCTTCTAATTTAACTATAATTAAAAGAACTCAATTAAATCATTTGAGACAATTTTATTGAATTTGAATTTTAACATCGTTCTTTTAGAAAACTCCATTAAAGGGAACATCGTTCTTTGAAACACGTGCCATTTTCATTTTCCTATAAAAATGTATCTTCTCTTGTTTCTCCTTGGCTGGATCATATCCGCTCCTGCATCAGCAATTGCATTAAACCACTTTGGTTTTCCTGTCGATAACATGAGATATCCCATCACCAATCCAAGTAGCGTCCCACAACCATATCCCAACATCACCACTCTCCATGTAAATCCGCTCTCTGTTTCTTCATCGTCTTCAAGTTGTTGTTCATGTGGATGCTCACACTTTTCAGGCAACGGAATCCCACAAAGTTTTGGATTCCCTCCAAATGAGTTTGCTTCAAATGTGTTGAATTGTTTTCCTTCAGGAATACGCCCCACGAGATGGTTTTGTGAGAGATTTAGGAATGCAAGAAACGTCAAGGCTGCAAGGCTTTGAGGGATCTCTTCAGTGAGATGGTTCCAAGATAGGTCTAACGATTCAATCTCCGAGAGATTCCCTAGAGCATGTGGGATTCGACCTGTGAGATTGTTGTGGGATAAGTTGAGCACTATCAAAGAACTAAGATCACCGATGATGTCTGGAATCTGGCCTTCAAACATGTTGTTCGAGAGATCAAGAATTGTGTAATCAACCGAAATTTGTGGAAAATTTAGCTGCACCCCTTTCACAGCAACAATGATGGAGTAATAATAGCCACCCACCACTAAATATTCAGGGGTTTTGTGACTCTTCACCACATTTTTCATGGCATCAAAACTTTGAAAATATTTTCGAGGGAGATGACCAACAAACCCATTATGAGATAAGTCAAGGACCTGTAAACTAGGAAACGGATTTCTTCCCATAGAGGAGGTTTCAATGGGACCATGAAAGTTGTTTGATTTCAAGTCAAGAACCTGCAAAAGTGGAAGATCTCCCAACCAGCCAGGGAATGTACCATTTAAGTGGTTGTTTCCGAGATCAAGCACTTTTAAGGATTGACATTTAAACAAAGAACTAGGAACCTCCCCGTCTAATTGATTTCCATTCAACATCAGCCCTTCTAAATATCCACAATCCTTGTATGTACTCGGAATGGTGCCATGGAAATAATTGTCCCCCAAATCTACCATCCGAAGATAAGGATTGGAGATGATATTTTCAAAGCACTGTAGAATCACTCCATCAAATCTATTATCTGACATACGCAAATACTGTAGATTGCTCATGTTGCAAATTGATGGAGGGAATGGTCCTTGAATCTTGTTGGAATGCATATCGAGCTGCATCAAGGAATGACATTCAGACAAAGAACTGGGCACCTCTCCTTCAAATTGATTCTCATTCAAAAAGAGTTGTTGTAATTCTCCACAACCCTTGTATAAATGTGGAATACTTCCATGAAAATAATTGTTTCCCAAACCAATCCTAACAAGAGAGGAACTGATATTTCCAAAGCATTGTGGAATCACTCCACCAAAGCTATTATTTGACATTTCCAAATGCCACAGATTACTCATGTTGCAAATTGATAAGGGGAACGATCCTTGAATCAGGTTGGATTGCAAATACAAATAATGCAAGTCCCATTGAAATGGTGGCAAACCAGTTATGAAGTTGTATGAGAGATCCAAATATGACAACTTATTTCCTCCTATCTTCCCTACCCACTCAGGAATGTGGCCATGGATTTCATTTCTAGATAGATCTAAATACTCGAGATTTTTCATGGCTTTTAAGGACTCCGGAAACACCTTCAACTTGCATGATGACAAATATAACATCCAAAAATCAGGACTGACATAGTGATTAGCGTTATTGGTCGTAACAGTTAAACCACTATATGAGAGATCGAGTCCTACAAGGGTTTTGAGGCTTGATAACAATGTATCCAACTCCCACTCACCGCTAAAATTGTTGTGTGCTAGGTCCAGATAAGTGAGGTTGACTAGTTGTTGAAATGTTTGAAGAGTGGGGCCTTGATCAAGCACATCAATCACACCAGAAAATTGATTATACCCAAGGGATAATCTCTTTAATGATTGCATGGTGAATACTTGGGATGGTAAGCTACCGCTGAACATGTTGTTACCGAGATAAACGGTTTGTAAGGGAAGGGTAAACAACCAAGAAGGCAATGTTCCATTAAGCATGTTAGCGTATAAATATAGATGAGTAAGGTACCTAAGGTTGACAAGGAATTTTGGAAGGGGACCCATCAAACCACAAGAAACGAGGACTAAAGTATTCAAGGACTCAAGGTGACCAATTGAGTGAGGTATCTCTCCCAATAAGTTGGTGGCTGAGATATCCAAGTAATTTAAAGACTTGAGATGGCCAATTGAGTCGGATATCTCTCTTGATGATAACCTTGTACCTTGGAGACCTAACAACTTGAGAGGGATGCCAATGCTCGTGTTAGCTTTGGACGATCGACCAGCAGTGAGGTTGTTATACGACAAGTCAAGTTTTTCCAAATATTGAAGATTGAAGATGTTATTAGGTAATTTTCCTTGCAAACCAGTGGATCTAAGATAGAGTAATTTCAGGGAAGGAGAAATATTAAGATAAGGGGGTAAAACTGAAGAGATACTAACATCAGCAAGCGAAAGGTCTCTCAAATGAGTAGAATTTTGAAAGAGACTGTTCAAAACATGAGGTTCAAGCTTGAAGTCAAATTTATTCGAAGAGAGATCAAGAGACACCAATTTATGAAGAAGTGTGATATCTTTAGGAACTTGGCCTGTAAATCCACATTGAGAGATGTTGAGATGTGTGAGACTATTAGAAAAACGACCAATTTCATTTGGAAGTTGAGAACGATACAAATCATTGTAAGCAAGGTTGAGTCTTTGGAGGTGAGGAAGGTTGAAGAGGGTGGTGTTAAAGTGGATGATACCTCGTAGCATGCCACAGCTGAGGTCGAGACCGATAACATCACCACTGAAGTGGTTGCAAGTGACACCATCCCAATTGCAGCAATCAACGTTCGTTTTCCAATTCATCATGATTGGATAATAGTTGGAACCAAGCAAATCATGACAAACAGAACCAACACTACTATACTTATATGAGCGATCGGTGGAGAAAAGATCTTGTTTAAACAAAAGCAAAGCATGACTTTGTGTAGCAGAGCATATATGAGAGTTATTGGAAGAAAAAGAGGCATATTGGATGAAGAAAAAGAACAGCAAAATGGAGAGAAACAATTTTGAATGACTCATTCTCTTTAACTGCATGGGTTTGCTTCCTATAAAAGTCTGCACTTGTTATATATATATATATATATATATATATATAAGAGCAGTTTCAAATGAGGTGGTCCTTTTATTTATATGCAGTTATTGCCAAGTCCACTCTTATGGTCTTTATATATACAATTAATTTAGCTTCTTGTTTCATAGTATCTCAATTTACAGAATGATAGATTGCGAATTATTTGTAATAAAAAAAGAGAATTATTTGTTCAGTTCTCTACCTTAACAAAAAAAAAAAAAAAAAAGGATTGATCAATACAAACAAAGTGGATCATAGTGTCTATTAAGTGTACGCTAGATGTGTTGTCACCAACCACAAGGGTGGTATCTGATTGGTTTGAGCTTGACTCCAAAGGTCAAAAGTATTAAGGAGGTCTCAGGTTCAAATCCAAATAGGAATAAAAAATCTTCTTGTGGCCACGGAGGTTCAAATGCAGTGACTTTGGACAATCTGCAAAGCAGATGGTCGCTCTAGGATTAATCAACTTGCATAACGGGTTAGATATTCAGGTTAATAAGTAAAGGAAGAAAAAAAATGTGTTGTCACCCAATATCACCAGGCTGTAAATGAACCGAACGTTCAGCGAACTGTTTGTGAATATTTCGGCGGGAAGTTCGTTTATGTTAGTTTATTTAATAAATGAATGGACATCAACAAATTATTTTGTTCGTTTAGTTAAACGAACGAACATGAACAAAAGTCTCGTTCGTTCATTTATGTTCGTGAACGTTCGTTCATTTACCGTTGGTTTACGTTCGTTTATATTCGTTCGTTTATGTTCGTTTATATATTAAATTTAATATATAATCTTTTGTGTATTTACTTTGAATTTAAATAATATTTATTTATGTTCATTTAGCCCGTTCGTTTACGTTCGTTTAGCATGTTGACGAACGAACACACTTGATTTCTAAACGAACGAACACGAAGACAAAGATTTTCGTTCCTTACCGTTCGTGCTTGTTCGTCTATTCGGTTGAGTTAAACGAACGAATATGAACAAGCCTCCGTTCATGTTTGTTTGGTTCGTTTACAGCCCTAGCTCAGTAGCTTGGCGGATGGAGACGTGAAATTCAAGTAACAACTTTACGTGTAAAAATATTTGTAATATATTCGCTATTATATAACACATTTGATATTATTCTCAATTTCAACGTCGAGATGTTTTTAATGACATATTTTGTTTAAAATAATGTATATTTTTAATATTTTAAAACTATTTAAAATATAAAATGAAAATTCAACAAAGAAAAAAGACAACAAGACTTTATAAAGTAAAGATCTGAACAAGATTCTTCGTAATAATATATTTTGTAACAGATTTGATTGAGATAATGATAAGTGGAAAAAATAAGTAAAATTTTTATTTAAGATATATTTGTTTTTATGGTATGTTTGTTTTAAATGTATTTATTTTAAAATATGAAATTCTTTTACGACTTTTTGTTTTACAAATACGTAAAAGATGTTTACGTTGTGAACCGAGTATATGTTAAACAAATATGTGTTAATCAATATTCTAAATTGTAGTCTTAGATGAAAAGAAATCACATGAAATAACACATGATACACAAGTTCTAAGTTTTAGCATAATTTAATTAGTTCTCAAAAAAAAAATCTCCTTAAAGTCTCATTAAGTACTTATGATATGTTATCATAAAAAATGATTTTTTTCTTATAATAAAAAATAGTCCAGCAAAATAAAAACGATTTGAAAAATCAATTATTGTTATAGCGATTTCATTAATAAAGTTGAAAAAAAAAACCTATAACATTTCTCAAAGCAATTCATCTTGCCAAAGCAAAAGTATATCACCAAATTGTACCTAACAAGTATCAATGAAAGTGTATGAACAGAACGACAGAAATATTGAATTTCTTTGAGGGATTAGTTGATTCCAAGATACGTCAATTTTTATCCATCTTTCGATCTAAAGGTGAATGTGAACGGAAGACTTGCAAAGTCTTGAAATTTGATGGGTAGGGCCAAGCCATAATTTCATTTGTTATCGACTTGTGCAAAATTTTCAAACTTCAAGTCAATGTAGTTAAAAAACCGACAACAATGAAGTTTCTTCTAATAAAGACAATTGGTTGGGATTTTATTATGGTCAACAATAACAATTTTGTCACCAAAGACTTGGATACTGGTAGTATTTAATGTTGTCATATGATTATTCAGACTTAAGTAGTTATTTACTTATAACTTAATGAACTTAATGATCAGGACAACTTTTTGCTCGGTTATACAGAAGTGTTTCTTTAGATTTAATCATTATTTTGAAGTTTTGAGGTCTACCTTCTCAGCAAATGCAACTCGATTCTTCTATTTGATGATCAATACCTAGTCAGAAATGCATTCACAGTCCATTGGTACAAAAATCCCCCTTAAAATGGTGGTTAAATGATGATTGACGACTGACAACCGTTGTAGGCGGTGGCAATTAAGCAATTGTAGGTTTTTTAAGCATTTTTTTGTTGTAATCTATACTATATTAACAAACAATTTGACAAAAACTCTTAAATTTTTTTTTTTGTATGAAGTAATGTTTATTGATGCATATTACTTAAAATTCAACATTACAAAGAAGCAGTGCGTAAGTA